AGTACTTACTGTGTGAGAAAATGAATAAGGACAAGCAATAGAGAAGAGTGTAACCACTTATCTAGGCTTCGCTAGGAGAAATCCTGCAGGCCCTTTGCTCCTGCCCCTGCCATTGCCAACAGTTGTCACTATAAGCATTCAGTGCAGAGGAAACTCAGGAGGATTGCTGAGAACTAAGTATCCGTGGAAAAGCAGAAATGGGTCAGTATTTGGGACGGCAGAGTTAGCGTGAAGATAATGTGCTGCAGAGACAGCAAAACGTGTCTTCCACACCCTTCCTGAATAATTGATTTAATGCAGTTTGAGTAATTGTCAGGTTTTGTCTCCAAAGGTAAATGAAATTGAAGTGTTTGCTTTTCACCTGGTCCTTGACTAAATCAGCAGAGCTGGTTGTTTTTAAGTGAAGTGGGTAAAAGCTAAGAAGAAAATATACTGTTACTCCAAATCACTTACGAATCTACTTGCATCCAGTGGGACAAAGTGTATGAAAGGGCGACACGTTAATAAAAATAAAACCTTATAGAAGAGAAGAAAAAAGCTTTTACATAGACCCTTTCCATCTTTACTTTTTCCTTTATAGATCTTGGAAGTGTTTTGTGCTCCACAGACAGAGAATCCCTTTCAGTGGCTTTACTACCTATAAAAACTGGTATGTTTGCAAGCAGAGAAACAAAAGAAGTACTGAAATTTGTGTGAGGATCACCCACCAGATGTTCAGTCCCCCGAGTAGGTTTTAGTTTAGTGGATTGAAGAAGAATGTGGAGACAGGGGACCCAGAGCGTGCGTGTGTTGAGTGGGGGGTAAAGGACTAGGATAAATTGAAAGCATGTGTGACTATAAAGAAAACTTCTGGGAAAGGAGGAAAGTGTAAAGAGGGAAAAAAAAAAGTCAGTGAGATCCAACTTTGAATATATATATACATACAAATATATGTACAAATTCAATACACACATATTTGTATAAAATGTATGTTACCTGATAGAACTGGTAAGTCATAGTGCTATCTTAATGGGTTAGAAGTGGGAGTAGAAAGCTTCTGCACGGAATGGAAAATAGATGATGTTTCTGTTTTCAGGCTGAGAAAAAAAACTAATCTGCCAGAGCATGGCGTGCATCTATCAATTGGCTTTTACTGCAACCTTCTTCCTAAAACAGGAGATGGGTTTTGACTCTGGCAGTACCAGCAGGGCTGTGGGTAGCGAAGGGGTGATACTTTTGAAGTCAGAATAAATAGTTGGGGCCTCAGAGCCTCATGATCCCTGTGGCAGCCTTGCCCCGATGGCAGAAGGTGATGCACAGCCATGCCATGTTACCGTTATGTTGGTGGTGGCCACAGAGCAGGAGGAGTCCCTAGTGGAAGATCTGTTGTTTACTCCTTACGAATCTGAGGGCAATTATGTGTAACACCTCCTGGTTTCCTAGGATGTACTGGTTGCAAATAAAATCTTGTTTAATAAGCCAGCAAATGCAAACAAGCTGCAGAGAAAAGAAGGGGTGGGGGGAATTCTTCCAGACCTGGGGAACATATGTTTATGGTAAGTGAGAGACCTGTTCTTGCACCCTGCCTTGCGTAGGGTAGTGCCTTTACCTGCAGATTTTCCCACAGCAGTCAGTCAGCCCATCTATGAAGCACCGCTTGATTCAGTGTAGATAAAGGCACCTGAATCTACCCATACAAATTATAACTAAGGTTAAGAAGCTGTAATCTCCCAAAAGCTTCCATAGATGACTACTTCACCTGGCCAGCTGAATTCATCATCGAGATTAGGGTTTTTTCAGTCGAATTACTGCTGCTGAAAGATCACTGTTGGGGCATGCCGTGTTCAGCCCTTCGCTCCTCGCTGTTAGGTGATTACCCTGCGTATCAGGGTATGGAGTCAATATGTGAATGTATATGTTATAGAGAGAGAGAGAAACATTGTCACATGCGGACGGGAAGTATTTGCATCAAGAACCCCTAATGTCTCTGATTAGCTTCTAATGGCTGGTTCTTGGGCTATGCATGAATGCAAGGCTTGGTAAAGGTAAAATGGTGGGTCAGCTATAAAAATAAAGCGTGCTGTCAGAAAAGCAACACCTTTTTGGTTTAGTCTGATAGTCTTCCTAGTCCCAGGCACTGTCTATTAGTTTGTAGGGGGAATTTGGCACAGTAGTGTCCAGGCTGCCCTGAGAGGGCAAGGTGGGGAGGAGGAAGACGAGTTGGTCTATTTCAGGTCAACATGTCAGGTTAAGTCAAAGCTAGCGAGAAAAGGCAGTTTTTGCCTAGTGTCCCCCAGCCTCTAAAGCAGGAGCAAAGCTGTCTCTTGTTTAGTGGTTTTCTTTACTAGGCTCAACTGATGATTTTATTATTCCCATATATTACTGGTTTAGCCACTTATCTCACTAGGTAAATGCTGATGTTAAATCTTGAGGAAAAATTGGCCCAACTGCAAGATTTAAAGGTGAAAGGAGTTTGTTGATTTTATGCTGGAACCTGTATTTTCCATTTCTCTCTCTTTGGATCATTCCAGAATAGAGAAAGTTTTGGTTAATTATATGTGCTTAAAGGAAAACACTGTAATGCAGTTTCCATGTACTGGAGCATTATTCTTGTACAGCTGGAGCTGGCAGCTTTTCATTCCCTTACCACCTCCTTTTCCTCCTAAAAATAGCAGCACACTACAGTGGGATTACAGGAGAGGCAGGAGAACGTTTCCTGAGCAACAATTTTTGTTGGATGGTACTCGAAGAAGCATTAAGAGCAGATTTTGGAGGAATTTGAGGAGGGCATAAAGAGGGATATAATGGAATTGGACAGAGAAGAAACTGGGCTGGACACCTGGGGACAGGAGGAGGGGGGGTAGGCCGGGGGTATGCTAGCGCTGAGATGCACTGGCCTGTGCTGCAGCCTGCCCAGGGAATTGGGAGAAACCTCACTGCTTGAATCATTCAGGAGTCGGCTAGACAGAGCACTCGACAATATAATGTGGGTAACAAACTTGCGGTTGCGGATAGGAGGCGGGGGCAAGATGACCTAATTTCCATCTCTGATTTCTATGATTTATTGAAGAGTTTTGCAGGCTTTCTGTTAGCGGGCTTAGAGATGGAATTTGAAGCACAGCAATTAGAAGGGGCCTTTAATATTGTGCCAGCGCGCTGTCGGTTTTTGATCACTTACTTGTGGCAGTAGCATGCTAAATGTGGATAATTCTCCACTGCAGCAAGCAGAGATAACAGAGGAGGCTTCTATTTGATTTTGGAGCTAGTGTTGACAGTGGTTTACGTTCTGCTTTCAGTTATGCCTCTCATTTCCACTAATGCTACCTATGGAATATTTGTATATGTAATAATAATATATTTTAATGTTAAAAAAAATATATATATATCAATTTAAAAAATAAAAAGATAAACAACCCCCATGTGCGCATGCACCCATCATGCAGCCCGAAATAGTAACCCCCGTCAAGAACTGGAGGGTAGTTAATTTGCTTTATTTTATTCAATTCTTGGAAATCCCTTTCCTCCTGTAATGGATTGGAGGAGAGAAGCTGGCATACGATGCTTCTGCTTCCACTGGTTGCCCAAGGAAGGAAGAAAAGACAGTGCCCACCTTCTTAGTTGCATATATTTAAATATATTCAGCTAGGCTTTCTGCCTGCATATACTGTGTGCCTGCTAGCATTTGTAGGTAATTAAGTATGCCACACAATTAAACGTTGTTATTATGGTGAAATAATGGTATCAGTAAAGTTATTTGAAAAGCCTGCTTTTCTCTTGAAAGTGTTGGTGTTGAGGGTATTACTCTAATCTGTAGCCACTGCAAAATCAAAGTGAACCAGCAAGAGTTTCACAACATTAAACTTTTTAAAAGGAATGTTTTAGTCTCCTTTGCTAGTGGTGAGACACAGATATCTCCTTGACTTGTTTTGCACTGTGTGAACCCATAACTATTAGACTTGTAACATATATAGCACGTGAATATTGTATTTTGCAGCTTCTCTGCTAACGTAGTAATGCAGAGTAATAAAGCCACTCCTTTACCCAGCCTGAGGGGACAGTGATTGAATTAAGGATGATGGATGAACTGAAAAAAAAAACTCCTTCTTTTTAAATTCTTAACAACTTCCCATTGTTTTGCTATGGGAAGAGGCAAATAATATCTTTCTTCAAGATCTGGCAAACGTATTTTGAAATTACCATTGCGATCGAGACAGTGGTAGACTTCTTCATTGTACTGGCCAGAAGTATGTTGGAAAATCTTCCATATCGGGAGTCTCTGCATTGAAGTAGACTCTCACCTGAGTCTGGACTTAGTCTCTGTTAAGCTCCTGTTCTGTTTTTGCTCATTTCCTGTGGAGATGTGATCCTTGTGTTTGCTACAGTCCTTTGTTGTTTTGTGTCACCTCGCCTTACCACAGTAGCAGTTGGATTGTCACGCTTTATTTTGCTGTTTGCCCTGTCCTTTATTTTCCAGCCTCAAAAACAGCACTTTCTTATTCTTACTGGTGTTGCTTCTGTCTAAAACCAAGATAGCTGGTATGAAAGAAGATGCCCTCTGTGACCTTCTGATGTTGCTTTGCAGAACGTAATCAATGCAATTTTGCTTCGTTCTTCTAACCCGTTGGCAGAAGTCGATACAAATATTATGATCTCCTTAGATTTGTTAGAAATCTTGCTATGCTTTTTCTTGTAAATACAAAATGCTGATATGTAATAGATGCTAAAGCCACAACCCAGTATGTGCATGTCATTAAGAAGATATCCGTCATTCTCTAGCTTCAAAGAGGTTATAAAGGGCTAAAATATACCTATTTAGTTTATTAAAAGCGCTTTCCTGCTTTATTTTAAGGAACTCCGGAGCTGTCATTGTTCCTAACCCGTAGAATCGAAAGTTGGTTTCCGTGATAGTGTCCTCTGTGCCTGCAATGTTGTTGTAAGAAGAAAAATCACTGCAGGATGGAACTTGGCAAACAAATCAAGGTCTCGGCCAAGGCAATGCATTGTCTGTTAATTTTCCAAACAAAACTAGTTCTGCTGCATGTGAGTCTCTTTGTGTCTGTTTTCCACTGGCTATATTTTGATTTTGTAACGTAGATTTGAAGCAATTATTAATGTTTGTGTGGCATTGCTTAAAAATACTAGCAGTTAAATATTCCTTAATTAAATGTTGGCTGCTAAACTTGAAAGAACCTATCCAGAAATTCAAAAGGGAGAACACAAACATTAACAAGAGTCTAAATAAGTATTTGAATGATAAACAGAAGTATTTCCTACTTAAAAATATACTAGTGACTGGGTAGAAGTCACTCTTTGACTAGTGTTATGTTTATGTAGAACATCTTGAGATTCTCAAGTTAGAAGTACTTCTTTCTAGCGGTATTTGGCCTTTGTTTTAAGACCTTGCATAATCTGCTCTACTTTAAGTGAGTATTCTGAAGTTATGGTATATGGAAAACCCATTCTAAGCTACCCTGTGGAAATTTTTAGAAATTTATCCCTTTCTGAACTTTGAAGTTAAATACATAATAATGAAATTTTTTGTCAGTAATATTAGAGAAATACAAAAGTAGTACCTAAGAGTAATATTTAATATCACCTAAGATTACTTTTCTGCAAAATGTTTAGTATCTTCTGAAAAATCAGATGGCGAGGCATGACAAGTGTTTTCTGTTACTCTTGAAAAATTTGCTTGTGTCATTGGTGTTTGTGAGTAATGGAATTAACTTGCAATCTGTTACATCATTCCTTGTTAAAAGAAAAAGGTGACTGTTTGAAAACTTAGCAGGAGCTTGGAATATTTGCAGCCTCCCATGGGAAGATGAAATAGCGTTCAGTAATAGGTGAGGCTTTCATTCAGGCAGGAGTTTATCCTAAAGCTCCTTAGTCCGTCCTGTCAAAGCCACTGGTGCAGGATGAACAGTTCTTCCAAGGCATAGGTAAAGCACTAAACTTTGTTTCTCCATCGCCGTCCTTGCAAAATTCAGTGCTTCATGCAGGCGAGGAAGTTACCAATGGTATGTTATTGTGGAGCAGCCTGGTCATTAGGTGCAGCGAGGTGCTTGGCTTTGCCATGGTCTGCCTTCCCTTTTCCATTGTGAATAAGTCAAAATGAGGCCTCCACGAGGGTGAGAAAACACGTTTCACCCAGGAGCATTGCAAATCTTTCCTCCTCAACTCAAGGAAATTTTATAATAGCTGCTTGGTTTGATAACTGTCTGCCTGCTCTGGTTGATCCTTTGCTGTAGACAACCCAAAGATTAATAATCCCATTTGTCATGTGAATATTTAAATTGCATCAGTCACACCTCTTTGTAGAGTTATCCTGTGATTAAAACTGACAAACAGTTTTCAATGAAACACTGTTTTCACGTGCTCTTAACCTTTCAAAGCATTTATATTTGAAGCTTAAACATGTCATGCAATGTTCAAAATTGATCCTTAAAAAGATCTGTTTAAGGTAAGGAGAGAGGAAAGTTTCACCTATAGTTTTGAGAGAGCTGAAAGCGCATTAATTTCCACTTACAATTTTGACCTTTTTGCCTTGCTGCTAGGATTGTCAAGCTTGTGAATTTTTGCACCTGTCTGGTATGTTTTCTTCACTGCGGAGTGGTGTTTTAAGACTTGGCAAAACCGGAATGATTAATCTGCTGTTAGTCTACCAAAATACTCTTATAGTAGCTGATACATTCTATGCAGCTGTTGAAATATTTTACAACATTAAAATCTTACGGCGTTTAACAGAAACTCTGAGAGAAAGCCAACAACCTTAAACAGTGAGTTAAAATTCCTTTCCTGTGATGGTACCCCTGCTTTGTTTAAATAGCAGATAACTTTCAGCAAGAGTACAGCCATATGCAGCCATCCTGCAGTTTCTGAAACATGAAAGCTGGATCTGAGTACTCAATTTATCTCTAACACGTGAGGCAAAACGCAAAGCCAAAGCATGTTGTGACTCCTAAACATCCGAAGAGGAGACGAGAGGGTGGCTGACCTAGAACATTCCCAGGTTTTCATCAACAGGCGAAACAATTGCTTCAGGGTAGTAATACGTTATTGGGATTGTTGATGGACACTTGCCAGTTGTATTATGAATGAAATTCACTTGCTGTTTGTAGTGATAGCACTTCAGCAGTCAAGCAAATGTCACTCTACCCTGGAACAGATAATACTGGGAGATGTTGAATCCTGTACTCGGAGTATTGCAAAACAGAGCTCCAGGATTTGGAGATGCTGTGCAAGTTGTTTCCCAGCCTTTACATTTCAGGGGTGGGTAAGCTTTCTGGATGCAGAGGCTCTACAAATGTCTCAAATGTTTTTTTTTTTTTATTTTCCATTTGGGGTGCACCAAAGTAGTGTGAGTCTGTGGATATTTGGTGGGGATGTTGTTTTTCCTCCCTAATCTGCTAGGTTTGTAGATCATCCTTCTCCTGAAGCCTGCTATGTATGGATCTGCAGATATTGTATTCCCCCTTATCTAGTTGGTTGAGTTATCACAGTGAGGATATGTCGTGTTGCAAAAAAAGTATGATGTTTATTTCAGACATCTTCTCCCTTCCTTTTTGAACTGTGAAGCCAATAATTTTCTAAAATGACATCCTCTTGAACACTGACAGCAGCATCTGACAAAGAAGTTGCCAGCTTTCTCTACTTAGAAAAGTAATCATTTACAATCATTTCAATTTTTGTGCAAAACAGATTTGCAAGATTTAAATGCTAACCCAAATCTAATGCTGCAATCTAAAGTAAGATGTTTGGTCTTTCATTATGTTTGTTCAGAATGTCTTCCTAAATCCAGGTTCTTTCATTGTAGAGCTGGTTTTTAAACTTTGGCCTTGGATTGAACAGTTTTGTAAGTCGTGGTAGATAAATGATTCTTTTCAGTGTATTTGCCATGCAAAATCTGGAAACAATTGCAGCTTGCATCCATCAGTTTTCAAGCACTTTGCGCTCCAGCTCTTGGTAGTGTAAAAATGTATCTATACAATTATTAAGATAGTACTCCTTGGTCATTTGGTTTCCCTACTAAAAGAGAGGATGACTTGTAAGTAAATTGAAGGGTTTTGGCCTAAGACTTGTAACTGTTGGTAAGAGGGTCCCAGCTCATGGTTTTAGAAATTGTAGAAAGGGCTTCTTGGGGAATACTTTGAAACAAATGATGCATATTGGTGCCATCTCCAAGTGTGGCAGCTGGAGAGTTTAATTATAGGCTGGAAAGCCAGTTAGGGATTAGGGAAAGTGTTAGCAGAAGGAGTGAATGTTAATGACAGCTGTTTGCTGTAGGCCTCAAAGAGGCCAAGTACATATAGAACATAAATAAAGCGCAGAGCCAAACATATGTTGGCTTTGAACATTTAAAAACCTCGGGTCATTTGTTCCTTGACACGTGAACCTGATTGGTATGAAATCATTTTAGTGGCTTATGCCCATAAAGATGTGTGTGTAGAGAAGGAGGGGAAGAAGTTTTGTATTTGTTTCATGGCCATGTGCACAGGTGCTGTTGTGTTCTCTGTTTGAAAACAAGGAGGAATCTCAGTGACAGCGCCTGCACCTGGGCAAGGCATAAATATAAACCACGGGAGAAGCATGCAGCTGTTTCTACATAGGGCAAGTAGTATTGGCCTGGCAGAAGCAGATCTGCGGAATGAAACAGTAGCTGCTGAGGACCCAGCATCGATGTTGTGTGCCTTTTTGGGCACGTGCGTTAGACGGGCTTTAATCTGGTCCCAAACAGCAGTTTGTGCGTGTGAAGGCAACTCCTCCTTGTGGACCAGAGCATGGGGACAACCCAGAGACTTGCTTCAGAAGTGCACTTCTGTTGCAAATTAAAACGACAGTATAGAAGCCCTGTGTCACTGTTTGTGGGGCGGCATAATTGGTAAGCACACAGTAATGTGTGTTGAGAACCTGCATCAATAGTTAGAAGGAAAATCCCAGCTTCTTTTGCTTTTGAAAGCATAAGATTAGGAAACTCTTCTGCATCTGCTTAGGTAGCCTATGAGGACCACTGTGCAGATCAGGTGCTGCTACTGAGGTTAGTAATGCTAGAAATTACTGGGACAGTTATAGGCAGTACAGTGTTAAGGCTGAATCAGTATTCCCTTTCTGCCATTTGTTTTTCGGGATTGGGGTTAGGTTTTTTCATTTGGGTATGTTTGGTCTTGTCTGAAACCACTTTTTTTTTTTTTTTTCCCCTTCGGCAGTATGGAGTTTTCATTATATAAATTTTGTAGTTTGAATGAAGAGGAGTTGGGAGGAAGGGGTATCAGACTTAGGTTTCTTAGGTGCATGCGTGTCTTAGTGAATCTGTTTTTTAACGCTCCAGTTACCAGAGGTCATCCTTTGAGAGGACAAAGAATGAGAACATAGGTCATCTTTTGAAAAAATATAAATAAGTGACATTTCACTGCAATTTCTGTTTTTCCCCATCAATGGGTAACAGCATATATGGAGAAGTTCTCGTTTTACCTGTTGGATGTGCATTTTAAGTGTACCTTTTATTCAGGTGCAGCGATAGACCTGCCCTGCCTGCCTTACAGAGCTGCTGTAGCCTGTTGGTACCCTGGCATGGGAATTAAAGGAATAAACTAAGGAATCTCTTCTTCCATAAAATCAAACTAATTTGAACATATGGCATCATTTATAATGCATTTAATATATTTATGGTTGTACATGATCTTCCTTGAAAATTAAAAGCATGTTATATACATGTTATATACATATCCACAAAAGCGTGGATCTAGTTTAATAAGCTATAAAAGCATCCCATATGAGATTTCTGACTGTTAAGATACTTAGGCTGTTGCAAAAGGGTAGTAATTCAGCCTTTCCTTACATAATTCGCTATGATTGATAATAATGAATTATGACTGATAATAATGGCTACAGTCTATAATGTAGTACTGCTGGCTTCTTGAAAAATAGCTATGACTTTACTACCAAACATTTGTAGCTTTTTGATTTACTTGCCGATCTCACTTGCAACGGGAGCTGTTAGCTGGTATGGTGAAATGGCTCATTATCTCGCAGATCTTGCTTTCTCT